CGGGAAGGGGAGATGGTGGCAGGGGGATGGAAAGGAGGCACAGAAGGGCAGCAGTTTCTGGACTTGTGACCCGCTGTGGGAGGTACGGGGACATGGCAGTGGAGGCTCTCAGGGTGTTAGCCTGGGCGGCTGGGAGACAGTGGTCCCATCTCTGAGCTGAAGAACCCAGCAGGAAATTGTGAGCACCAAGAGAGGCTGCTCTGGGGGAGGGTGGCATGTGAGGCTCAGGAGAGAGGACCCAGCTGGAGACAAGCATGGGAGGGTTGTTGGCTTCAGATCATCCAGACAGAGCCCCCAGGGAACTCCCGGCTGTCCGAGAGGAGACCCTTGGGCAGGGGCAGGAGGAGAGACCAGAGAATAGGAGGACCAGGGGACTATGGCACCTGGGGAGACCCTGTCTTTGTCCAGCCCAGTGCCTGGGGGCCCGGGGGTGCTCAGTGACTTTGGGTTGCATAAATGAACTGATGAAAGAATGAGTGGCTGATGAACTCTGACAACAGGAAGCCCTTTGGAGGGTGGGGTCCCCTCCAAGGAGGGAATGAAGAGGCTGCACCCTCCCCCCACCAGCAGGACAAGTGGGAGGTTATTCTGGGCCTCCTCTGGGTAAACATAGCCTCTGAGTGGGGTGGGGGCGGGATGGGGGCAGGGTGGGCCCCCCCAGGTGGCTTCCTCATTTGTTTGGGGCACTTCCTTATAAGGCTGTGCAGGCTGAGGGCCATGGAGGGTGAGGTCAGGGCTGAGCTCTCCATTCAGCCCAGCCCGATGCTGTCCCTGTTGTCCCTGTGGCTGCCAGAGTCTCAGAGGAAATCAAAGGCTGAGACTTTGGGCTCCAGCCAAGGAGCTCAGAGTGGGGCCTCTTAAAGGGCCCCTGAGCCTTCATGTCTGCTGTGGGAGCCCAGTTCAGGGCGGGGGAGAGGGTGTCCTTCCAGGGTCCTCTGGGAAGGTAGTGCTGGGGACCCTGGTTTTCCCATCTGTATGATGGGCTCACCCTCTGAAGCTATGGGCAGCTCTGACACCCTGTGGTCCCACCTTTGTCCCTTCTGCTGCAGGGTCTGCCCCTCTTGCTCTGATCTCCTGAGAGCGGACTCATTCGTTGCTTCCAAAGGCCCTGGTTCCTCCGCTCCCCCTTCCCAGCCCCTCTTTGGGGAACCAGCTGCTGCCACTTGACCCTGTGGTGTCACAGCTGCTGCCAGCAATGCCATCCTTGCTAGGCAGGGAAGGAGGAATGTGATTTAATTTCAGCTGGAATGTGCCCTCTGAGGCTGCCCAGAGAGAGGGGAGGGGGTGTAGACCAAGCCACCCACGCCCAGGAAACCCACGAGGGCTCTGGGCTGGGGAGGGGCTCCTGTGCCCTGTGCCATGGGAGGGGCCCTGCAGCAGGATGGGTCTTGGTAGCAGTGGGAAAAGAAAAGGCTTCTGGTGACTGTCCCTGAGTCCACAGGCCCCCTCAGAAAGGTAGGGGGAGAGTCTCCTCACCCCATGGGGAAGGGACGACTGGCTGGGGCAAGAAGAGAGACAGAAGGCCTCGGGTGAGGGCCCACAGGCTGCAGTGGAGAGCAGAGGAGCATTCTGAGATCCCACATGATTTCGTTCAGCCTGGGGGCCCCATTCCCTCTCCCCTCTTTCTTTCTTTTTTTAAAATATTTTTTTATTGATTTCAGAGAGGAAGGGAGAGGGAGAGAGAAACATCAATGATGAGAGAGAATCACTGATTGGCTGCACACCCCACACTGGGGATCAAGCCCGCAATCCGGGCATGTGCCCTGACGGGGAATCGAACTGTGACCTCCTGGTTCATAGGTCGACCCTCAACCACTGAGCCACACACACTGGCCCCTCTCTCCTCTTTCTAACCCAGCACCCCAACACCAGGTCGAGCTTGCCTCTTTGCCAACATTTCAGGAGCAGTGGACTCTGCCTCCTGCTCCCCACTTCCTCCCCAAGCCCATTATTCCAGGCTCTCCAATGTGGGTGTCTCTCCTATCACCTCACACCTGTTCTGGATGCTATAGCACCAATCCCTCTTGCCCCCAAAGGGGTGGACTTCAGGCCCCAGAGTCCCAGTCCTACAGCCCTCTTCCCCTAAGTCTCCTCTCCCAGCTTCAAAGTCCCCTCCCTTCAGCCCCATTCACCCTCCCCACCCCCATGACTCAGCTGTGCCTCCAGAAATAAACGGAGGCAGGAGCCAGGGGGCCACTGTCGAGGAACCACCACGTCCCAGCAGCTGTGGGCTCAGCTGCTGCTAAGCCGGAGCCACAGGGTCCCCGGAAGGGTGGCTGGGAGACTTCAGCGGTCAGGTGATGCCCAGCTGGCTTGGCCCTCTCCTGGGACCTCATCCTCCCTGCTAAGGAGAACGCTCCTCCCTGGAGCCTCACTCTCCTTCCCTATCCCCTCGCCTCTGTCTTCCATCGACTTTCCTCCCTCCTCTCTGGCCTCTCCCAACTCCTGAAGCACTTGGTGTCTCCTGGATCTCTTCCTTCTCTGCTCATCTCATTTGTCAGGAAGTTGTATGTCAGAGCTTCAACACACCTTGATGGGGAAACTGAGGCACCAAGAGACATCCCTTGTCAGTGTTCCTAAGAGTCCCTAGATGCCAGTTGGAGTCCACAGAACATGGGCCAAGTGGCTGTGGGTCGCTGCCCTTAGGTGGTCCGGTCCAAAGTGGTCAGTAGCCTTCCCTCGTTAACAAGCTGCCTAGAGACTAAGGAAGGACCCCCAGGAAGTAAACTCAGGGCCACCGAGCCACCCACAGGCGACGAAGCAGAGTCGAGTCTCTCACAGGGGATTTTCTCACACCCTCTTCCTTCTCCCCCTTTTTTCCTCTGCTCCTTCCCAAGCCCTTCCTCTTGCTCTGCCCTGAATCTTCTAGTTCTTCCTTCCCAGGAGGGAGGAGATTGCTGGAGAAGCAAGGTGGCAGTTAGATCTCAGGGAGGACCTCCAGTCGGGGGAATAGGAGGGGGATCTGACTGCAGCCCCCATGGAAATCCCTCCCCCTCAGGGGTCTGACAGGCGAGCATTCTTTGAAGTCTTTGGGAGCTGCTGTGTCACAGTAGGCAGGCAGGCAGGACAATGGGGCCCTTTTCCTCCCTGCACAGGGGCAGGCCCACCAACGGCCTCAGGGCTGGGACAAAGGCCCCAGTGAGGTCAGGGCAGTGTGTAGGGTGGGGAGGTGGGAAGGAATAAGGTGAGGGGGTGGGTGGGTCAGAGCAGCCTGGGGGGAAGCTGGGGACCTGGCGGTTGAGGACCTTGGCAGGCCCATGTCACCGGGCTCTCGGGCTCCTCTGCAAGGCCCAAGCCCTGACTTCCACCCAGGCTGGACCTGCCCCTCCATTTATTCCAATACACCCTCTGACCCCCCTCTTGTCCTTCATCCCCAGGGGGCTCTGGGGGGGACCTCACTTTAGACACGTATGAAAGGCTGAGGGGCGAACCGCATATCCAGGGGCTTGCAGGTCTGTGCTGTGTCCTGGAGGCAGAGGCTCCCAAAGAGAGGCTGACACTCCATGAGGGATCAGTTCCCTCTGCCCAGCCCAACAGAGGCCCCTGTCTCATTTTCCCTCCCTGGGCCAGGGCTGGATTCTGTGCAGGGTGTTGAGTCACCCCTGGTCCAGCTCTCCCTTCCCCAGGAAGCCCAACAAAGCCAGAAGGCTTCCGTTTTAGGCAGTCATGCCCAAGCAGCCAGCAAGTGTCCGGAGGGGAGGAGTGTTCTAGTTCCAGCCCCGTGTCCACCTCTGGACCACCCCTCCTCCACAGTCAGAGAAGATGGGGGACCCCTGCCGAGCGCGGGTGGGGAGATTCAGTGACTAAGGGGCTGGGACACCAAAGCCCCTTCCAGCTCACCACTAGGGTCTCTCTGGGAAATACCACCTGCTTTCTAAACCCCATCTCTGCGAGGTCACAGTTCTTAGAGAACCCCCCTGAAGGACCCCAGGACAGACACTGTCCCCTCTTCGGCCTTCTCTTCTTGAGGTGCTATGTTCAAAGGCCCACCCTGGTCTCCATCCACTCATGATTCCAGCTCAATTCCATGACATGCCTAAACTGCCCTTGAAGGGTAGTACAGGATAAGGGGGAGGGGCTCCCTACTCTGGTCCCCAAATCATCCTCTTCCCTGTAACTCCTTAAGAAACAGCCTTAGTCCCTAGCTGTGCTTGGCTGGGTTGTGTGTGTGTGTGTGTGGGGGGGGGGGCAGAAGGGGGGAGGAGGAGGCGCGGGGGGGGGGGGGGGCAGGTGAGCCCTGGGTGAGGAGAGGACTGTGGTATCTCAGAGTCTCAGAGACCAGCAGGTTTGGGGTGTGTATCCAGGGTGGAGAAGGTCCAGGAGCTGGGCAGGGATGGCCTGGGAGAGCCATCCCTGGGAGAGCCCGTTTTCCGGTCTTGCCTCGCTGTCTCGGGGCCTTTCCCCATCACTCTCAGCCTCTGTTCCCCTGATTCTGTCTCTGTGTCTTACAGGCCTTAGTAACTTGCACTTGTGTGGTTAAATGTGAGGATCTGCAGCAAGAAGATTCACCCTCATCATGGAAACAGATGGCATCCCGACACACACTCTACCATAAGGTACAATTGTGTGTCACACACACACACACACACACACACACACACACACACACACACACACAGAGCTGGTCATTCTCTCTCCAGTTCTCAGAGTGACCTCACTATCTCAACCTCCGCTGACTCACAGCCCCCAGGCCAGCTCAGGCTGGCGGAAGTCTTACCCCCCTTCTTCCCCCCTACCCCTCACTCCAGCCAGCTGCCAGACTTCCTCACCCTGGACAACTGGGGGGTGGGGGTGGGGGGCTGTGACACCGCAGCGCCCTCTGGCGGTGTCCTAAGGCTCCTCCCGCCTGGCTCCACTCACGCACGTGCACACAGCGCCCTCTGCTGGCTACAGCCTATGAGGCCTGCAGGTCATTCCTCAGAGCCCAGCGCACAGCAGGGCTGGGGATCCCCATCTCTCTCTCTCTCTCTCCCTCTCTCTCTCTCAGAAGCATCAAACTTGCTTGGACTCAAATGCAGCTTTATTTCCTGCTGGTTTTACAGGTATGCCATCCTGAAAACTCATTCCCTTAGAGAATGAGTGGCCCCAGAGCCCCCCAGGGGAATGGAGGGGACAGGATGGCTGGCGAGGAGGGGGCAGTTGAGGCACTTAGGGACAACTCAAGGCCCTGAGGGAAAACCTGATGCTCAGTGTGGGGGTGAAAGGGCCTAGGCTGGTCTGCAGCTGCCCAGGTATTTCCCAGAAGCCCCTTCAGGCACTGTCACCTGGACTCCAGCTCTACCCCTCTCATGTTGTCACTTCCCATGGTGGGGCATGAGGGCAGTGCTGGGGGCAGCAGTATCCAAGGCCTTGCTTCTTAGGGAGCTGGAACAGGACTGGAAGGAGGGGTCCAGCGCCCCAGTAGCCTCTGCTGACGTCCTTCTAGGGCCTTCCTGGGGTGCAGAGCTCGAGACTGGGGAAGACACACACACACGCACCCTCACCCTGGGCTCTTTCCCCTTCTCTTCTCAGAGCCCCCTCTGGTGTTCTTGCTCCTTGATGCCTGATCTCATCAAACACTTGCCCTGGCTCAGCCCTTAAGGCAGGGGTCCTCAAACTACGGCCCGCGGGCCACATGCAAATACAAATATTGTATTTGTTCCCATTTTGTTTTTATACTTCAAAATAAGATATGTGCAGTGTGCATAGGAATTTGTTCATAGTTTTTTTTTTAAACTATAGTCTGGCCCTCCAACGGTCTGAGGGACAGTGAACTGCCCCCCTGTTTAAAAAGTTTGAGGACCCCTGCCTTAAGGGCCCAGAGCTTGGCCAAATGTTTTGACGTCAGCACTGAAGAGAACCCAGAGCATCCAGCCCTCCTTCCCTTGGTCCAGAGAGGGGCAGTGATTACTTCAAGGTCGCACAGCCGGTGACTGGCAGGACTAGGATTGGAGCCCAGTGCTACTGTTAGTTAATGCCCCCCACCTGCCTCCTCCTGGCACTCACCGGCCTGCGGGGCACACAGGAGATCTGGGGGGCCTCCCAGCGACCATTCTCCTGGCAGCGAATCAGTGGCTGGTTGCGCTGGGCCAGCCCCTCCAGGCACCGGTAACGAAGCACCGTGTCCACCTCATAGCGCAGCCTCGGGCGGCCGAACAGTTGAGCCAGGGGCAGCTCTGGTGGGGACCCACAGGACACTGTAGGGCAGACACAGTCAGAAACTGAGAGCCTGGCTCTAGGAGTGACAGTTCCCAGAATCGGGATGACGAGGAGAGGAGTGGGCCACAGTTGGATACAAAAAAGAGCAGGGGTTCTGAGTGGACCCATCGGATTTGTTATCCCTCCCGTGCTCATGGCCTGGGACCCATTTCTGATTGAGCAATTTTGCACCGCCTTCTGTTTACACATCCGTCCCAGCACCCCAAGCCCCCGCCCCTCCTCTCCCTTGTCCGCCCTCACCCAGCCCCATCTTGCAGGTGTAGGACAGGTGGTAGTTGCAAGGCACGTCGCTCCATTGTCCCTGATCGTGCCACACCATGACGACGCAGTTCTCTCCGGACAGGAAGTAGCTGTCGGGCTGCCCGGGGTTCCAGTTCTCATAGAGCTAGGGGGTGGGGGTGGGGGTGGAGGAGGTGGTGAGGAGCTCCAGGACTGGAGGCTGAGAGGAACGGTCTGGAGGGTCTGGGAGGAGGGGTGGGAGGGGCACGGGAAAGTGGCCAGTAGGAGTCGCCACAGGGCAGGTTAGTGGGATGGGGTGTAGGGGCCCCAGGGGAAAGGAGAGGTCAGGGGCTTTGGGAGGAAGGATAATGGAAACCAGAAGAGAAGTCAGAGAGGCACAAAGATGGGAAGAGGACCCAGGGAGAGAGTGGGCATGGGGAAGGGAAGGAGCCAGAGAAAGGAAAGGGAGGGTTGGGGTCACTGTGGGGTGGGGGTGGGGGGAATGCTTCGAAGAAGCAACCAAGTTAGCTTGAAAGGCAGCGGTAGCCTCTCACCAGGGGGACGCCATCTGACCACAGGAAATCGCCTTCGATCGTTCTGTCATTGAGCCCAATCCACTGGTACTCCCGGTATCGATCTGGGAAAGAACCGCAGGGGAGATGGTTGCAGTGAGCTCCGCCGCCAGCAGAGGGCGACCATTCCCCAGGATCGCGCGGTCGCTGGGTGGCCGCGGAGAAGTCCTTCCCGCCTCCCCAGCCCCGCGTTTCCCTCACTCCAACCTCGGTGCGTGGGCCTGGGCTAGAAAAGGGAAACGCTAGACACAGAGTAAACATGTTCAATGAGGTCAGAGTCGGGGAGAGCAGGTGGAGGCAGGAGAGCAGGGAGGTGGGAGCTCTGAAGGGGGCGCCAGGCTGACGCAGGTGTAGTTCCTGCTCTAACCGCAGCGGCCCCGGTCTGAAGCCCCACCTCCCGCGTGTGGAGTGGGAAGGAGGCAGAGAAAGGAACAGTGAACTAGTAGAACGAGGTAGGCCAAGTAGTAAGTACCCGAATTAATGAATGAGGGGGGAAATTCATGAACACACTCATTAATGAGTTGATTGACGAGTGAGTGTGAGTGACAGCAGGTGGCAGGGCCCCCAGCCCACCGTTGATGAAGCGCTGCTCCTCGGGGGTGCTGATGCTGGCCAGGTGCGCGCCGTACATCCGACAGTGCGTCTCCGCCTCCTCCCAGCTCCTCCGTGTAGAAAAGTGCTTGTAGCAGGCGCCCTGGAAGGCGTCCCAGCCCGGGCTGCAGAAACGGAGGCCTGGGCGCAGAAGGGCGGGCTACTTAGGCGGGAGGACCCGGGAACTCCAAGGAGCCTGGTCACCTGGAAGGGGTCCCACCACCGCAGCCTGAGAGGGCGGGGCCAAAGAGCTGGTAGGGAAGGAGGGGAGGAGGCGCCTGGAGGAGCCCTAGTGCTGGGGACCTTGATCCCTCCCTCCCTTCGCTGGGGACTAGGGTGAGGGCTGGGAGTCCCGGCCTGGGTCTCTGCCATCCTCCATCGTAAAGGAGAGCTGTACGCTCGCCACTTGCCAGGAGAATGGAAACTGGCATGTATTGACTCCAAATGCCAGGAGTCTGCTAAGCAGTCCTCCCACACGGAAGCCCGGAGAGAGGCATTTTTGGTTCCACTTAACAGATGAAATTGAGGGTAGGGCTCAGACAGGTTATGTGATTTGCCTAAAATGGGATTCATCAACGGCAAAGCCAAAACCAGTGCCCTCCCCTCCTTCCTCTGGAACCAGCAGGGTCCAGGCTTCAGATCTACCCCCACCCCACACCAGTCCCTCCAACACACTCACCAACGTCGCACAGGTCCCCCCCATAGCCAGGCAAACATAGGCATCGGACCCCCTCCTCCTCCTCCAAGCATGTCCCACCATTGTGGCAAGGGCTGGGGACACAGTTACCTGAGAGGGGGAGAGAAGTGAGGTGGGGGGTGGGGGGGAGCAGGGAAGCACAGCTCTGCTGCCTGAGTCCATCTGGAGAGGGTTCAGAGGGTCCCCAGCCCCAACCCCCCTTTCCTGGGAGCTAAACAGCTCTCTCAAAGTTCCCCCTGGAACCTGCCTCTGGTTAGAGCCCAGCCTGAATTCTGGATTTTTCTCGTCTCTGGGTCCCCTCGAGGTCCCCCACTTCAGCATTGGTTCTGCTCTGTGCTGGCCATTGTCATGCCTGCTGGTGTGAGCCCAATCTAACAGGGGCTGGGAGAAAGTGGCCGCGAAGGCCCTTGGGGCCCAGCCCCGCAAAGGGGAAAGATGGTCATGAGGCTTGGACTCTTGTCTGGCTCCCAGCTCTGCCGGGTGACATTGGGCAGGTCATTTACCCCTTTGGGAGCTTAGTCCCCCACCCCCTGGTCTGTGTCAGGTCCAGAACAGCTCTGTACAGTCGAGGTGGTCTACTTGAAAGTGGAGGAGAGTCCCCACAGCCACTGGGACCTGATATGGGGGGAGGAGGGTTCAGATGGGAGGTAACCATTCCTCCCCTGTCCACTGGCGCAGTGAGTGAAGATCCAATACACTCCCCACTTTAAGCCCTCCCCCCCCTCCTTCCTCCTTACCAGGCTTCCCTTTCACCCTCTAGTTCAGGCTTCCTGCAGATTCCTTCGCCTAGAAACCCTTCGGCTCCATCTTGCACCCTTCCTTTTGGCTCTCTCTTCTCCAGGTAGCCAGTCTTAGACTAACACACTTCCCTGAAAGCATGCAATCTGCTGTCTGGATCCAGCGCCACCCAGCGAGGCCAGCTGCCTCCTCCTCTGTACTCTGGATGCTGGGGTAGGGGGTGACGGCTGCCTAACTTGGGCTGAGCCTGGGTGCTGGAGGGGCTGTCAGATTCTACTCTTTCTGGTCCTGATGACCCAAGGGAAGACAACCCCACCGACTGACAGCACAGGTCAGGGCTCTGAGGCCTGGGCAGTAAAACCACCCTCCAGGCCAGCGGTCGCTAACTGGTGGTCCTCAGACCACTGGTGGTCCATGAGGTCCGAGGTCCGAAAGGTTGGCGACCGCTGCAGCCAGGGCATCACCCCTAGCAGCCAAGGCCAAGGCTCACATGCTTTACTCTGGCCCAAGATCCTGGCCCAAGATGCCTGGTAAGGATCAGAGCAGAGGTGGGGGGGGGAGAAGCTGGAGTTGACTCAAAAATTTTTGCTGTGGTGATCCAGCTGTTTGGCGTAAAATGAATCAGCTGTTCCAGCACCATTCTCCCTGTCACCTCCCCTCTTGCCAATAGTTTTACCCACCCGCCAGGGTGAAGGGGGAAGGGAAGGTGTTTTATTTAACCCTTTAAGCACCGGGGCCCACAGAGGGTAGGAGTCCGAACTGCTCCCCGTTCCTCACATTTTCCTGCTCTTCCTGTTGTCTTCTCTCCAACCCTCCAACCCTCCAACCCTCCAACCCTCCAACCCTCCAACCCTGGGGGATAGAAACTCTCAAACTTGGTCCCTGATGCTCCACCCAGACCACAGGTCCCCCCCACCCCCAGTTCCCCACCCCACCCCCACCTCCAGCTAAACCTGAGCCAGGACAGGCACATTGGGGTGAAAAAACTCCTCTTGAGACTTTCTGGTCTTCCTTCCTCCACCTCTTTGGGCCCAACTACTATAAGGACCTGAACATTGTTCCTTCCATTCTGCTGCAATGGCCAGGAGGCTTTCCTCACCCTCCACGTGGGCAACCAACACACTGCAGATGGTGCGCCTCTTCCCACCAATCCCCTCCCCACCCACCAGCGCTGAACGCCAAGGTCAGCTGGGAGGGAGCCAACAGTTGAAATGTGTGAGCCTGGATGTGATGCAGGGACCCTTAGACCACCCTGGGCCATCTAGGAGAGGGCGTCCTGAGGGCATCCAGCCTTCTGTAGGAGTCGCCACTGGGAAGCTCAACCTTCCCTGAGCAGGTAGGGCTTCCCTAACTCCCCATTCCCCCGCCCTCTACATTCCCTCCCTCCCCTTGTCTCCGGATCTGTGTCTTCTCCAGCATTTGGGACTTTGACATCCTTTGGGTGTAGGGAGACTGAAACCATTCTCCCCAAGGGGTGGAGGAAGTCATTAGTGTAGGGGTTAGTGGAGGACAGGAAGGCTGTGGGAATAGGATGAAAGTCAGACACCATCCCCCTGCTGAGATGCCAGGGGCGGGGCATGGGCTGTGGGTCACCTGGATGCCAGGGAACCATATCTAGGCTAAGAGGGACTTTTTCGTCACTACTCTGTATGTGTGCCTCTATATGGGAGCCATTGAGAGGGACCAGACATGAATACAAACGCGCGCGCGCACACACACACACACACACACACACACACACACACACACTCCAGGCTGTGGAGGTTCTCCCCCCAAGAGTGAGGGAGAAACCTCCCAACACTCGCACAGACGGATGGACAAGGGCTTTTCTGGGGAATGTGCAGTCAGATTTGGGATCTCAGCCGTCAGGAAGGAAAGTGGAGACAGGCCTGAGAAGGACAGGATGAGAGAACAGCAAAGGGCTGTTAAATGGCTAGGACTGGATGGGTTTAGGCTGAAGATGAAAACGAACGCAAGGCAAAGAGACAGAGGGGGTGAGGGAGGGGGATGAAAGGTGAGAGAGAGAAAGAGAGAGAGAGAGAGAAAGAGCTACCCATGACATGGATCTATAGAATGCAAAGGGCAGACAGCTGGGGGTGGAGACAGAGGGTGCCAGAGTTTTGGTTATAAAGCAGTTTAATAGAGATTTATTTCCAAGGCTTGTTTTCCATGAAACAAATGAAAAAATACTTCACAGAAGTAGTCGCTTAAGGCTCTGTGGGATTCAGGGTCTCCTGGACCCCAGAGGGTGAGAGGTGGGGGTGGGGTCCCAGGCTTCCCTGATATCAGTGGGAGGTGGCTGAAGGGGATGGCACACAGGAAGGGGGAAGGGAGCAGTGGAAGACCAGCCTGGGCCTTGAAGAGGGCAACAGGTGCTGAGGGTATCCTAGTGCGTGAGGCATGAGGGTGCTCTGCGGGGTTGGTGAGATGTGAGTCACAGGTAGAGAGCCCAAGACTAGGAGAGAGTCTGAGGCAGTCAGTGGTGGGGCTGGGGTGATAGAGTGAGCAGGGAGACGGTCTTAGGGTGGGGGTCAGGGTGTTGAGGGGGCCACAGGGTGAGGAATCAGAGCTGGATGGAAGTCACATGATGGGGTATCCAAAATAGGAAGCCCACAGGTTGAGGTGGGTAGGAGAATAAAAGCAAAGGACAGGAGATCTGGGGCAATGGTGGGTTAAAGGACTACAGGTGAGGTGACTCAGAGTTGCAGGGGGAGAAAAAGGAGGAGGAGAAACAGGGAAGCTGAGCCTTGGGCAAAGTTACCTGCTGAGGGGGCCACGGCCACTCCACCATGGCTGGTGCTGTCAGTGGGCAGAACTGGCTGGGCCTGCACTGAGGTCCCTGCTGGGACAATTCTTCCAGAATTCTCTTTGGCGGGGGCCTCCAGCTCCCTGGTACCCCCAGGGGCCTGTGTGGCTGGAAGCAGAGCAGGGGCATCCTCGGAGCTCCCTGTCTCCTCGCTCTCTCCTCGAGGGACCCCCGACAGCTCAGGACGCCCAGTCTCTTCCCCCACCTCTCTTGCCCCAATGGGAGTGAAAGGTGAAGCCAGGCTCCCCTCCCTGGGAGTGGGCAGGGTCTCAGTGGGTGGTCCTAGGACCCTTGGCGGCCTGGGAGCCTCTGGCTCTCCATTGGGAGGTGGTGATGCACCGGGGTGTAGGACGGCCGGTGACTGGGAGGCCTGGGAGAGTGAGTCCTCCAGGTCCAGCTCACTGGGGAGAGGGACTTCTGGGTCCGGGCTGCTGAGCTCGCTGGGCCAGGCCCACAGGTCCTCATCCTCCACATCCTCCTCTTCTTCCTCCTCCTCTTTTTCTTTTTCATCCTTGTATTTCTCTTCTTCCTCCATTGCCTTGCCTTCCTCTTCTGATGACCCCATGGGAGGTACAATGGATTGGGGTTCGAATTCTAGGCAAAGCACAGATGATTCAGCACCAGGGACAGCGCCCGTCAGAAGATAGAAAAGGGGAAGGGAAAGGGGAGGAAGGGGTTGGTGAGGACTGGGGAGAGGAAAGAGCCTGCCCTGGGGAGAAGCTGTCTTTGCTCCACACCAGAAGAACTGCAACAGGAGCTGCAATGTTGAAGGCTCTGTGAGCTGTCATTATCCCAGGAAAACATGGTCTTTGCGTCTCCCTCTCCTAGTCTGTTAAAGTTCTCTAGTCTACTTTGGCTAGGTGAGGGAGAGGAGAGACCAAACAAAAGAGGATCAGCTCCTTAATCCAAACAGCTCTAGACTCAGAGAGTTGGGGGTGGAATTTTCTGGAAAGGCAAAGATTGGAAGAGGAACAAGTGAGGTGCCTTGCACTGTTGAGCTGCTGAGAAAGGACAGGACAGAGTCCTGCCGTCATAACCCCAGCATCAAGCTGGGCTTATGCCCCCAGTATCTCATGTGCAGACCTCTCCAGTGTAAGGGATTTGCATTACCTTGAAGGGTTTTAGGGGCCTCTGCTGGGTCTTCTGGAGTGGAGCTTGCACCTCCTCCATCCTCTATGATGGGGATGGAGTAGATGGCTCCTCGGGACTCACTCTCCACAGCTTCCTGAGGCAGCTGCAGTTCCTCCAGGGTCTCTGTCACTGTTACAATGGCCTCCAGTCCATCAGAAGCTGGGTCAGAGGATGGGTTGGAGTCCTCAGGGATGGTAGAGGGCTGGGCAGAGTCTGTTGTGGGAGTTAAGTGCCATTGGGGGTGTTAAATAGGTGGCTCTGTCCTCCCAGGTCACAGCCTACATGTGAGGGTTTTGGGTTAGACTCAGAGGCCATGGAATTCTCTCAGTTCTCTCTCATTTCCCTGCGGAGCACCCATGGGGCCACAGAAGCACCCTAGGACTTCATCACTTGTTCCTCAAGCATTAACCAAGTGCCCAATGTGTGTCATGCCAAGCAATCTCCAGGGCATTGAGAATACAGCGAAGAGCAAAATAGCAAGCTTCCTGCCCACAAGGGGATTTATATTTCAGATACAGATAATAAACAAATACACATGTATTATAATGTTAACATATAAGGGGATGGGATGGGAAGTACTACTGTATATGGAATGGTAAAGAAAGGCTCAGGGGAGATATCTTCCCTTGAGTAAAGGATGGAGGTAGGATGGATAGAATGGCCTCCGCACCTTGGGTTTGGGGCAAGGTGTGAGGGAGCTCAGTCATCCCAAGGCTTTTGAAATGGAAGGGGACAGGCTGCCATCACTGCAGGAGAGCTGAAGGGCATAGGACAGGAGAACATTCAACAGTCACCACCTGAGGATCTCAGTACGGGGACAAGAGCACAAAGGCGGGAGTCACCCTATCCTTCGGGTCTACTCCCTTCAAATGACAGTTTTAGAATAGATTACCTTGTCTCTAGGGAAGTAAACCAAGAGAAGAAAACCAATGAAGTGACGGTGGAATTGGGCTAAGAAAAGCCCTGAGGGCCATCTGTGCTCAGCCAGATGAAACAGGACAGCATGTCCTGCCCTCGTCACCTGCTCCAGTGAGCCTTGCTAATACGAGACCAGCAAACCCATGCCCTGCGTGCTTGTCCTCCACCTGCTCACAACCATAGTCATCTCCTCTTCTCCCCCCCTCCTGATTCAGTTCCTCTCTCCATTTTCCCCCACATAATCATAATCAGTGCATAGAAGTGCTAGCTATCATCATCATCGCTACCACCACCACCACCATCATCATCATCACCACCCCTGTTCCAGGAAATCTTTTCAGATGGACCTGCCTTCCTATGGGCTTCACTTCCCTATCCATCCCCACATCCGTCCCAGGTCAAACATGTCTGGGGATCGGTCTCAGTGAAAGTAATCCTTGTCTCTCAGTCTCCATCTTGTTAAGAGCAAGCTGTCTTGTCTTCTCTCAGACTGGGGGCTTCCATGGCAAAAGCTGTGCCTTCTCACATTTCTGCTTCCAGTCCGTGTACCAGTACCACAGGCTCACAATTGGAGCAAGGACTCAGACACCTAACAGCAGTTCCTCCCTCATTTGTAGTCACCCTTAGCCTAGGCCCTGTGCCTCTGGGGGTCCCAGGCAGTGCTCCCCCATCTCCCAATATACGATGTGGGCAGGAAGCCATCTCTACATCCAACTGTCCTTAAGGACCTGCTCTCTGTGGGTGAACCTGTGTCTGTCCATCAATATTTGGTGGTTAAAGATATGACACCTTCAAGCTGAAGGTTCCAGAAACCCCTTTGATGGCTCTTAAGGGCATTTGGTTAACTAGAGCGAATCATTCATTGCATTCAGAGATTGTCGGTCGTCTCTGCTCTGCTAATGAGCGGACCAGAAATGGAAACATACTTGGTAGCCCGATATGGGAGGTGAGAAGATACAGAGAAGAGAGCACTCCTTGAGGCCACATAGTCGGAGGATGTGACCAGAATTAGAACCCTAGTGACAAGCTGAGCATCACCTAAGCCTCCTTCAGGCAGATGGCAAAGACCTGAGAGGAAATGATCAGAGCGGGGGTAGGGCTTCAGGGCTGATCTGTGCCTGTGAGGTTGGTCCCAGTCCCTGCAGGAAGGTGGGCTCACCTCTGAAGCAATAGACGTTGAAGCGGCTGTGCTTGTTAGGGAAGCCGGTCTGGTTGGGGAAGAGGAAGAGAGTCTTGACCCCGGGCAGACCCCCACCACAGCGCTGGCTGGGTGTGATGATGGGGTAGCGCACGCTGCCATCGGCCAGCCAGCCTGGGCTGCAGCGGTCCAAGCCACCATCCCAGGCTGCATATAGCTGGCCCGTGGTGGCGATCTCTGCTCCTCGCTCCTGGCAGTATGCCCGTGCCTCCTCCAATGTCAGCTTGTCTGGGGGGGCACCCAGGAACAGCTCTCCTGGTAGGGCAGAGGAGGCTGGGTTACCAGGAAGTTAGTAGCCCCTTCTACCCTGGATTCCAACAGGGACCTGGGGCAAGCTTCTCTAGGCCTCAGTCTCCTTATCTGTGACATGGAGTCAATTATCCTGCTTCGTAGGATCAAAGTCTGGGTAGAAGCTCAGATGGATGGATATTATTGCTCAAAGGGACCTAGCCCAACTTCCCCATGCTGCAAAGACGGAAACAAGGCCTAGAGCTGCTAAGAGGTAGAGAGATGCACAGCAGAGTCAAAGCACAAACTCGCCCTAATCGGTTTGGCTCAGTGGATAGAGCGTCGGCCTGCGGACTCAAAGGTCCCAGGTTCGATTCCGGTCAAGGGCATGTACCTTGGTTGCGGGCACATACCCAGTGGGGAGTGTGCAGGAGGCAGCTGATCGATGTTTCTCTCTCATCGATGTTTCTAACTCTCTATCCCTCTCCCTTCCTCTCTGTAAAAAAATCAATAAAAAATATTTAAAAAAAAAAAAAAAAAAGCACAAACTCAGTCTCCTACCACGTGCCTTAGGCTTTGACCATGAACTTGCCTCTATGACAGTATTTGGAGGGAGGGACATCAATTGTTTCCTTCCCCCTGGCTTCCCCCTTAAACACATGAAGGACAATAAGGTCCAGCAGAGGCCCCAGGAGGACCCATGGGCAACACTAGAGAAGGGGCTTGTCCCTTGGGAGCCCCTCATCCCCAATCACCATTTAGGTCTTCAGCATAGCAGTAGACGTCATAGAGGTCACTCGGGTCCACCACGCCATAGTTTCGGACACCAGGGAAGCCATCCATGTCTCCGTAACAGGCCTCTCGCGGAGTCTGGATGGGATACCTGGGGATGGAGGACAGACGCCTTCACGAGGGAGCCATCCCACGGTGAACTTCCCAAATCACATTGCCTTCCATGCAGCCAGTTGGCCTCCCAGCCCTGGGGGACAAACACCCCCAGGGCAGATCCTCACCCATTCTCCGAAGACCAACTTCATTCCCAGGAGGCAGGGTGCCCCTGTGGCCAACTTGAGGCAGCAGGCAGCCCCTGGCAGAACCGCAGACACCATAGAAGCCCCTGGTCCACAGCCCCCGCGTACCTCACAGTCTGGTCGGACAGCCAGCCAGCATCACACTGCTCATAGCCCCCAAGATAGGCCGCATAGAGCTGCTCCGGGGTGGCGATGCGGGCGCCGATGCGCGCACAGGCCTCCTGGGCCCCGGTGAAGGAGAAGGCGTAGCGGGCAGAGCCCTCCCGGTAGAGAAAGACGACCCCTGAGGGGCAGAGAGTACTCCTGGAGGCAGGACCATCCTGCACACTGACCTCCCGCCCCCTTCTTGTCACTCATCTGTCCACACGGGGTAAATTACACGCCCTGCGGAAGGAGGGGCTCAAGTGAGGCTACAGGTGGCATTTCCTCCACTGGACGAAAGGCGGTGACAAAAGCCTGTATCAGGTCAGTCCTTTCCCAACTCAGTCTGTCCTCCAGGGGCGTTTGCGCCCCTCAGACTGTGGGCTCCCTGAGGCCTGGAGTCCTTCCCTCCCCGGGGGCGGGGGGGGGGGGTCTTCTCTCCGCCCCTGTGCTCTCACCTTTGACCTTGACCTCCACAGCATCGCTGCTGTCGTCGATGCCGTGCTGGACCTCGCAGCGGTAGATGCCTGAGTCGTTGGGCCTCAGCTCACCCAGCGCCAGGGAGACGTCGGTGAGTGACGCCGGGTAGGCGGGCAGCGCCACGCGGAACCGGTAGGCCTCGCTCACCTTGACCCGCAGCCCCCGCGCCACCAGCACCTCGGCCTCCCGGCCCCCGGACAGGAAGGTCCACTTGACCCGCGGGGAGCCCAGCACCGCCCGGCGGCCGGACGGCGGCCGCGAGTAGTGGACGTGGCAGGGGATGGTGAGGGTACCGCCCAGCACGCCCTGCAGCGGCGGGGCGCCGGCGATGCGCACGCTGAAGGCCCGGTCCTCTGTGGGGGGACCCGCAGGAGCTTCACCCTGGTTTCCCAGCCCGTCCCAGGGTCCTTCCCGCCCCGCCCCGCCCCGCCCCAGGACTCCCCGGCCTCGCCTGTGGGTTTTCCTAAACCGTCCCCAGCAACCTGGGCCCCCGTCCCCAGGGTCCTGCAAACCCACTTCTTGATCCCCAGACCGGTCCCCAAAGTCTCCGAGTCAATCCCGCCCCCAGAGTACAGCCCCAGGATTTGTGGGCCCCACCCACAGTCTTCTAGCCCCGCCCCCTGGGTCCTACAGTCCAGGGCTCAAAACTCCTGTCTGTCCAGAATCTCTCCCAGCTCCACCTCTGTTCTGCCTCCCAGCCCCCCACCTGGTCCCAAGGGTCCCCCCTCCCATCCTAGAGGATGGCAACTTTGGACCTGGTGCCCCTCCCCAGCCCCTACCTCAAGTTTCCACACCCAACCAGGGACCCACACCTCATCTCTTTTTTCAAAGGGTCCCAGCCCAGACCTTTCCCCACACTCCTCCAAATTCTATCTCCTCCTCCCTGAGTCCCCCAAGCTGGAAGAGGTTGGTTAGGGCCAAACCAGAGGCCATTCCTTGCCATAAGGAAGGTGCAGGAGACAGAGAAAGTGACCCCAAGCAGGTTGCTTACCTGAGCTGTCCCTTTCCAGAGCATCAGTGAAGGCCTCAGGGACCCCAGCCAGGGTCAAGGCTGCCAGCAGGGACAGGAACTGTGAGGCCATGCTGCAGACTGACGGGGGGACTTGAGGAAGAAAGACAGGGTTAGCCCTGGCTGGTATGGCTCAGTGGATAGAGTGTGGGCCTGCAGACTGAGGGGCCCCGGGTTCAATTCTGGTCAAGGGCACATGCCTGGGTTTCGGACTCAGTCCCCAGTAGGGGGTGTGCAGGAGGCAGCCAAGCAATGATTCTCTCTCATCATTGATGTTTCTATCTCTCTCTCCCTCTCCCTTCCTCTCTGAAATCAATAAAAATATATTTTTAAAAAAGAAAGATAGGATAGATCTCAGGATGGACTTACCACGGCTCCCTAACACATCCACATGGACTCACACCTGGCCCCAGACCCCACTGCCTCTGCCTCCCCGTTAGCTCTGCTTCTGATCCCTGTCTCCCCATGAAGGTATTCTTCAGAGCCACCACCTTGGTGCTAGTGAACTCACTGTGTGACTTAAGGCAAGTTCCTTACCCTCTCTGGCTTTTGTTTTCTTGTAAAAGAGCACCATTACTACCACCTCACAGTTTGTGATGAGGCTGTGTGCTTTGAGAATGCTTTATATTCTAAAAAAATCCTGTACAGATACCAGGAATCCAGCACACAGTAGGGGCTCAATAAACGCGTATAGCATATAGCGTGAATGGTGGGTACCATATGCCTGTGAGTGTTTAGAGTTCCCTCTGCCTCTCCCAGTGCCAGACTCCTTCTTTGAACCCAGAGTCTTCTCCTCCCACTGTACCCCTCCAACTTCCCTCCTTGTCCCTTCCTCCCTGAGTACCATAGCCACCTGGCCTCCCCCAGGAGGACCTCCTAGACTGAACTCAGGCAATGTACAACTTCTCCCCAGGGCAACCCCTCCTTGACCTCCCTCCACCCCACCATAAAGTAGAAGGAAACCCTTCTCTTTACTCCCCAGCATCTTCCGCCCGCCTCCTTGGCTGCCTTCTCTTTTCTTCCTCCCAGTCTTTCCTTTCTGTCTGGCACAGGCTTTCCCACCGGATCTCCTGGCTCAGAAACCAGCTGGGACAAAGCCCCTGTCTCTGCCAGTCTGGCCTCCATCCAGCCTCTCCCTCCCCCACCCTAACCCTGGGCTGGGAGGTGGGCTAAGGGGGGTGGGGGTGGGTGAGAGTAAATGAAAGGCTATCTCCCTCCTGCCCTTGGCTATCAGAAGCTCTGTGAGAACCCAGACTGTTCCTTTGAAGATCTCAAAGCACTTATACTCTCATAATGGAGAGATAGGGCTGTAGCATTGAGAAATGGGGCCCAGAGAGGGATAGGGCTGACCTGGAGTCCCCAGTGAAGCCCAGTCAGGCACCAGGCCAATGTGCCCCTAGGAGGGAAGGCTGCAGAGGAGCTAGTGTCAAGTCACCTTTGAGCCTCAGGCTTAGAAGACCATGAAGACCCAAGTCTGCCATGGAACAGACCAATGGTGCAGCAGGAGAGGTGAAGATTAGGCTGCAGGCAAGGCTTACGAGACCAGGCTTATTTCCCCCGGCTACTCATTCCCACTTCAGGCCCATTGTTCCACCTCCATCTTCCCCACCTTCATACTTGTGCCCCTTTCCTGAGCCTGAGCTGATGAGAAATCTCCAGAGTCTCCCGAGGATACCTCATCACCATTGTGAACCTCTGCTTCCCCCCACTGCCACGGCACCATTTCCTAGTGGTCAGAGCCCGGGGAGGAGTGGCAAGGGTCAGATGCCCAGGGCATCTCCCTGACCTTTGCTGCGGCCAGATCCGAGGTGCTGAGATTGGCTCTGGGCATGGGGGCCTCTTGGGAAGACTGTTTTCTGGGGTTGGAGGGACCTTTTTGGATGCACAGCCAGTGGCTGCAGTGCTGGGGAGACTGTTGACCATGCATTTGAGCTGTGCCAGGTCCTAGGCCTGGCGTTCCCTGGAGCCCTCCCTCCCCTCTCTCTGGGCTGGAGCTGCTCACAGACCTGGCTCCCGGCTCTCTGATGGGTGCCCCAGAAACCCATATAGTTGGAGCCATTCTGGGACCAATGCCCTGGGCCGCCGCACCCCTACCACCCCCCTTTGCTTCTGTTTTGAAGGTGGGAGAATGAAGGGAGAATATCAGAGGCTGAGGATCTGGCTGCCCTGGAACATAGAAAGCTCCCCACCCCCACCTCTAGGAATGGGAATCACCGATCAGAGAGGGTGGCCCTGGTTGTGTGGTTCTCACAGTCAGAGAGCTCTGCCACCTCACCCCACCTGCCAATCACACCAAACTTCGACCTTAGTCCCTTCTTGGTATCGCTAGGAGTCCTGAGAAAACTTAGGCATCCCTCATCAGGCACCAGACTCAGACCCAGGGGTTCTCCATCCCACATCCTCACCCACCTCCACTCCATCTTCTCACCCTCCAGAGTAGGACACACCATTCCATCCCTAACCTCGAGAGCTCAGCAGTCTTCCTGTCCCTTCGCCTGATGCCACACCGTCCCTCACTCCAGCTCTCTCTCCGGCTCCAGCTTCGAGTTTCTCAAGCTGTTCAGGAAACTTTCCCCTTGTTACATTATCATTCCTCTCTGCCCGTGGTCCTCCATCTCCCACAGGGGCTTCACAGACCCGTTCACCAGGCTGTGTGTGTGTGTGTGAGTGTGTGCGCACGCCATCTCCATGCTGAATTCCCACCAGCTGGCATCCAAGGTCTGCTCCGTGGGAACCGAGCTCCAGTCTCAGCAGGATCAGCTGGGCTGCACAGGCCAGAGCTTGGGTCTCCACAGGAGGGAAGCTCTCAGCTACCCCCTTAGTGGCTGTGTGAGCACTAACAAGAACCTACACAATACAGCCAGGCCTTCAAAGGGCCTGCAGGAGTAATTGCAGTGATGGTATAAATAGGCCTATTTACTGGGAGCACAAGTAATAATACAAGTGAGCAACATTACCAGATGAGCTATTGTAGCTCCTCCTAATATAAAATCTGAAATATAGACGATGCTTTTATCAATGGCAAAGTTAGTCATAACAGCATAGGCCCTGGTAATACTGTGGGTGGGTCTCGGTCTAGGGTAATTATCCCTTGATTTTACTGGTATTATCTGGAATAGAAGTAATGGTTTGTTTTTTTCTAATCTCACCCAAGGACCTGTTTCCATTGATTTTAGAGGGAGAGGAAGGGAGAGAGAAACATGGATTGGTTGCCTCCCGAACACCCCCACCGGGGAAAGAACCCACAACCTAGGTATGGTTTGTCCAACCGGCAACCTTTTGTTGCTTGGGATGATGCTTCGACCCAATGAGCCACCCAGCCAGGGAAAAGTGATGGTGACAACAAAATTGATGGCAAAGCTCTTGGTCCTCTTAGAACCATGTGGGCAGCGCTATTCTGAACATACCTGGGGGGAGAGAGTTCCAGCTCCTGGCCGTTCTAGGAAGGAAAGCAGGAGTGGTACCCACGCAGGGCCTCTTGGTAAACGCCTCCCAGGTATAACCTGAACTTTGAGAAAAACGCTGTTTACTAGATATTGACTGATGAGGAACCCGATGTTCAGGGAGGTCAACTCACTTGACCAAGGTCACAACAAGTAAGTGCCAGGGTGGGATTCCAGCTCCAGCGGGCGCGGGGACCGCCCGCTACAGCGGCTCCTATCGGCTGTCCTGCGGCTACGGGAGGTGGGACCTCACGGCAAGGCAGCGGGGGCTGATACCGTGACGAGGTCGGGGACAGCGCGCGCAGCAGGGAGGACGCCAGGACCTAGAGGGGCGTTCCCGTTAGCCTGCGGACTCCGGGGGGCTGCGGGTCCTAAGCAAAGCGGTGGGGGTGCGGGCGGGGGTGCCGGCGCAGAGAACCAGAGGGTGGCAGGGGCTGCAGGCGCTACGAGCTGGCCGACCGCGGACCTCGCCAAAGCATCAGGGGTCGGCGAGTTGGAAGCGCTGGAACCTCAGAGGCCAGGGCTGCGGGGTAGGGTCGCGTCCTGCGAGGCCGGCGAGCGCTCCCTTCTCTCTCTCCCTCCCAGGTCCCGGCGGCCGGGCTGCGGTCGCGCTCACCTACTGGCGTGCGGCCGAGGGCTGGGGTTGGGGTTCGGCACCGCGGAGTTTGTCGCCTTCTCCGGGGGTCTCCGCCGGGTCCACGGCTCGGTCCTGCAGCTGCAGCGGAGACTGCGGCGGGTACTGCGCGGGCGCCAGCAGAGGCTGGCCCGCAGGATGCTCGGAAGAGGGCGCCGGCCCGGCGCCGCACAAAACCCCCTTTCTTCCCCCCCGTCCCGCCCTGCCCTTCCCCGGGGCTGCCCCCGCCCCCTGGCCCAGAACACGGGGGGCTCGGGAAAGTCACGGGACCCGTTGCCTTCTCGGCGTCGGTTCCGGGCGGCAATAGGGAGAGCAAGGACGAGTGAAGTAGGACATCCTTCAGGGGATGGGAGCCGAGGGCTGGGAGTAGGGAGGGCGGGCAGGAGGGCGGGGAGGGCGCAGACGATGCTGCAGCTGGAGGGATGGCAGTTAGACAGCCGGAGGGACTGGTCAAAGGGACAGGAAGGGGACTCACACTTTGAGAGGAGGGAGAAGGAGGGTGAGAGAACGGGAGGTTTTGGGCACAGAGAAGAATGGGGGAGGGAAGCTGTGTTTGGAAGCCGGATGAGGTTGCAAAAGACCTTCGCCACCTCCCTGATGGGGCTCTGTCTCCTGTGGTGCTCGCACTCCCCTAGACCATAGGGGAGCTGATTTTGCAGCTGGGGGGACAGGTTAGACAGCAGATTCATGGGTTAAGAAAAACAAGTCAGAAACTCTCTAGACATGGGGGAGGGGTGGGGGTGGGGAGGTGGCACTGTGAACCAACGTTACTGCTCATGCAAACCAATGTGCGAAATGCAGGGGTTGCTGGGAGCCAGAGGGCCCCCTGGCCGGGGCTCTTGCTCCTGGTGCCAGGAGGTGGGCCTTGATGGCTGCCCAGCCACTGGGGACTTCTCAGCGCCCAGAATACCAATGACAACCTCCTCCCAGCTCCAGGGCCTCTGCTTCCCTCCTCTTTCCCAGGCTCTCTCCCCTCCCTCCTCTTTCTTCCCTCCTGAGACTCCAGGCAAAGCCCCTGGCACAGACAGTGGGCAGGACAGCCAGACGCCGGATGGATTCTCTCCCCTGTACACCAGCGGTAGCATCAAGGAGAGCTTGTCTGAGGCTTGGATCCCCATAATCATCAGCAGCACCCCCCAAATATCCCAAAGAGAGTGAGGTGCGGTGCACGCAATGCAAAGGCAGCCTAAAAGCAAGTTCCTGTCCTCCCGTCTAGACTGCACCCAAGTCCCTCCTGCGTGGGAAATCGGGGCTGCCTTCCACTGGCCTCAATCCTTGAGGAATTCTGGCAACTTCCAGAGACACATCTCCTGTAGAGACAGGACAGGAAGACCTAGAATGGAGGAAGGTACCGTCCCTCAGTGAGAGAAATGTCCCAGGCAGGGAGGGGAGAATGAAGAGGACAGAGCAATGTGCTTGGGATGGTTTACGGAGGAGGAAACCTCAGTTTATTGATTTTTGTTAAGTAAATGTTAACTGAGTGTCCACTATGGACCAGGCACTATTTTAGGCCTGGGAGTGCTGTCCCAAGTCCTCTGGTGGAGAGAAGGATTCGTACCTGGTAGCCCAAGGACCTCCCTTGGCTCCACTCAGACCTTCTGTCCTGCAGGACAGTGTCAGCATGGGGTGTACATCCAGCCCGACCCCACACGGCTCTTCTCCACCAGGGGCTCAATGGGGCCAGGCAACCGAATGGCTGGAATTCAGTCCCAGTGGTGGCTCACAGGTAACCATAGATTTTGCCTCCGGAAAACTTGTCTGTGACCCGGGAAGAGAGAGAAAGTGACCTTCCTCACTACCTCCCCTCATGTGCCCTAGAAGTGTGGGCACAGTTTGGTGCCCAGGAGGAGTCCAACCATGACTGAGGCCAGCAGCACCTGGGTTGGGACAAGGGCTGGTACCAGACAGTGTGTTCCAAGAGGGAGACCCCTAGTGGGAAGCCAGACCGAGTGAGAGAACAGAGCAGCTGCCGCTGTGAAGGTCTTGATGAGAGCCAGCATTTGAGTCATGCCACTGTTTTGCCCTTTGCAGTGGCAAAACCTTGAAACGCTTCTGTAGAAGCATCTACCCTATTGGATGACATCTACTGCTCTGGGTGCCATCTACTGCTCTGGGTGATGCCTACTGCACTGGGCTGGGTAAAGGAAGCCCCTGGCCCACACGTCAGCAAAACCTACTTCTTTTCCTCTACTTGTCACACACACACACACACACACACACACACACACACACACACACACACCCTAATCTCCACCAGATCTCCTGGCCAGGCAGTCAGTGGGCCACTCCTCTGTGAATGGGATGGGGGCGCAGTGTTTGAGAGAGAAATCTTTTCTTGAGGATTTCCTAGGGGAGGAATAAACACCTCCCCAAGCCTTTTCCAACACTGCCAGCTGTAACAGTTCACACTGAAGTCTAATCGTGCTTTGAACTGGCAGTTTCTGATCAGGGACCTTCTTTACTGTCTTTACTTACATCTTCACCCATAGCCATGTGACCACCCTCCCATTTCTACTCACTTGCTGAGCAAGATCTTCCCTTCTAGGTCTTAGAAAAAAAAAAACAAAACCCAGGGACTGGTTGAAAGCAAACAGAACCAACGGAAGCAGGAAGAACTCGGGTCACAGTTCAAGCAGAACCACTGGCCCAGTAACAGGAGGAGAATGTCTCAGGTAACCGTGGGTATCTTCTGCATAAAGAAACGGAGACCAAAGAGGTGAAGTGACTATCTAGGGCCACACAACAGGTAACTGACTGACCGTGACCAAAATGAAGTCTCCTGCCTCCCAGGCCAGGGTCTTGCCAGAACTTGGAGCGGTCTCTCTCCAGGGAGAGGAAGCCTGAGAGGTGGAGAGAAGACAGAGAGGAGGGAGAGTGGGGGAGCCCTCCTCCCTTTTCCATGTGCAGCCCAGCTGGCTTGCCTCCCAGCCTCCTGAGCCCTGGGGAGTTTTCCAGTCTCTCCAGATGAAGACAATCCATCTCCTGCCTCTCCCCTTCAGCTGAGGTCACGACCCAAGTTGAGGAGACAGAATCTCCCCTCCAAGTCCAAGTTCTCCCATCCTAAGAGCATTCCATCTCCAGTGTTAGCCTTGGGCCTTTCTCACTGGATCTCCAACCACAAAGGCCACTGGAAGAGCCTGTCTTTCCCAGCCCCTTGAACACCGGCTTCCCCAGGCTTGGGGGTAAGGGCCCAGGCAGCTTAGTTCCTCTCTGAGGCCCTGCATGTCACACAGGCACCTGGGAACGTGCACGTGGGGCTGAGGGGGAGGATGGAGGCAGTGCTAAGCGCTGGCACAGCTGTGTTAGGAGAATGGGGGCTTTGATAGCTTCTGAAAGGGGCCAGGAAGCAGGGGTTGCTAGCCCAGGCGAGGGGGTGGCCAGGAATGGCTGGTTATAGCTCTAAGGGCTCCTGAAGCTGAAAGAGAATGGGGGTGGGAAGGGAAAAGGGGGGTGGGGAGTCAGTGGTGAGGCCTACAGACTGAACAACCCCTGCTGTATGAGCAGGAGCCACTGCCCCCTGAGCTTACAGACCCTCGCTTTGAAGGATGCAAACTCTTGTGTTTAGATGAGACCACCAGTCTGTTCCATAAGGAACAGCTGAAGGTACTGGAAGGCTCGACCCTGAGTACAACCAAATCTACTTATTGACAAAAAGCCCCTTCCCTCAGGCTCCCTGCAGTCCTGTCTCTGGCTCCTGATGGGGAAGACCATTCACTCCTCTATGATGCTGGGCCAGCTATTAACCTCTCTGAGCCTCCGTTTCTCCACCTGTAAAATGGCACTAACATCTTGATTTATGGTTTTGATGTTGGAACCTTGTAAATGTTTTATAAAATTAAAACACAAAATTAAATAATTAAATTAATTTTAAATTAAATTTTAAAAGAATAAAAGTGCTTCGATCCCTTAAACTCTAAAACTTAAACAAACGCACCTAATTGTATATGAAGTTGGAGGCAAAGCCACCCAGAATTTTCTGATTATAAAACTCAGCATTTCCTTTTTTAAACTCGGCATTTTTACTATATATTTCTAAGAGCAAAAGAGCCATGGAGAAATCTTGATGTTGGCATTACTATTTTGAAAAGTTCTATTTATTATGATAAAGCAAATAATTATAGTAATAGTTCTAAGAACTAAGACTTGCAGTGTAAAAGAAAGTGAAAGTTAAGCAATAACTGCTAACCTTTCATCTGAATTAGACACAACAGCATGAACTCATGATTTGTGTGTGTGTGTGTGTGTGTGTGTGTGTGTGTGTGTGTTCTGGAGAACAGTTATATATAACATTTATAAATATTATTTGTGCATACAGTTTATTTAGGAGCACTAACAATCTGATGACAATGAATATGCCTTGTGCCCAGATTGTAGTCTTGAACTTTCCACTAAAAGGAACCAGGACTCTGGAGAAATTCCAGGCCTGCAGCAGGATAATTTTTCATACTTGAGAACTCAGGTCAAGTTCATGTCAAAAGGACCCAATAGCCAACTTGAGAATACTCCCACTGGCCAAAAAACTTCTGCATTAAAATGAATAATGACTGTAAGAGATGGAAACACATCCAATAATATAAAAAGCCAATAAGTTCATATGCTACTAAAACATGAAATCACTGGTCACCTTTGGACAGCGATAGCACACCAACTCACGATTTTGGAAATCCATAGGGCACAGCAGATCCTGTTGATGCCCCTGCCCATATCCTCTTAGCAGTGACCTCAACAAGCCAAAGGCTGCTGACGGCTGAGGAATTTTTCCGATTGGGGCGGTATGCTTGGCCTAAGTGCATGGTGAGTCAGAAGTACCAGAGGATTAATGCCCCTAGAGACAGCCCTCAACCGGTGACAGAGGGTGAAACCCCAGCCCCCTCACCTCTCAGGCAGGAACTGTGAGGCAAGTCCTCCAGTCTCCAGCTGCCCATGGTCATAACCTGTTCAATTATTTGGATTACTTATTCAATTATGTATTAGATTCCTTCCCTTCCCTGTCTCACTTTCCAGGTTTATTAAGATCTGGGAACTTTCAGACTCACAAAGTCATGAGCGCATGTGGGTGAGCACAGTATTCCAAAATGGCACATTTATGATTGGGAATGAGCATGCTCAGAGGGCACAAGTACGCCGCGTGAGCAGGAAGCCCGGGCTCCCATATTGCTTGTCTCTATTGCACCCAGGCCTCTCTCTCAGCTCACCCTACAGTTTCATGGGATTTCTCCATGGTCATACTCCAGAGGAGGAAAAGCCGGGGCCTGTTTCTTGGATGGGTCACTTTGATATTTTGATGTGAGCTAAACATGGACTGCTGCCACACAACAGACCCACGTAGGGGTGCCCTTGAAAGATAGTGGTGAGGGAGGATCCTCCCAGGAGGTTTCAGGCAATACACTGGCCACCTACTTTGCCGTGAGAGAGGGGACTTGAGGGGAGTATATACATGAACTCTTGAACAGCGGCAAATGGCTTTCTTGGTTGGCCAGGGGCCAGGAAAGGGTAGGGCTGGAAGAGTGGAGATAAGAAAGTCTGGGGAAGAGCTATATGGGTGGACTGACAGCAGTGGGCATTGTATCTTGTGGCAGTACCATTAAAGAACACTCACTGCAGAGGAGACACTGAATAGCCAAGGGAACAACATTCACTGCAGAGGAGACACTGAATAGCCAAGGGAACAGAAGGATTCCAGTGGGTAACAGCCAGCCTTTGTCCTCCTCTATGCCAGGGCTTGCACAATGGGCCCATGAATGGAGTAGCTGTGGCAGTAGACATGGAGGCTATGTGAGGGCCCACCAGCAAGGGCTCCCTCTCACCAAGGCTAATCCAGCTGCTGCTAATGCTAGATGTTTGGCCTGTCAGCAGCAGAGACAGACACGGAACCTTCAACATGGTACCATCCCTTAAGGAGCCCAACCAGCCACTGGGCAGCATGTTGATTACAATGTACCTCATTCAATCTGGAGGAGAGAGCAATGTCTCCTTACTGGGATTAATATTCTGGATGTGGATTTGCCTTCCCTGCCCACACACCTTGGGCAGCACCATTATCGAAGGACATAAAGGAAGTGACTTAGCCTTATGAGATCCCATATAGTATCACCTCTAACTAAGGGGATCCACTTTACTAGTGAAGGGAATGTGACAATGGGCATAGGACCATAGTCTCCATTGGCCCTATGATACACCACATCACCTTGAAATTGTCAGCCTGATAGTCCACTAGCATGGTCTCTTTACAACACATCTAAATACCAGCTTGGGACCAGCTGGTGTGGCTCAGTGGTTGAGCATCAACCTATGAACCAATGGCCAGGGCACATACTCGGGTTGCAGGCTTGATCCCCAGTGGGGGTGGGGTGGGGTGGGGGGGAGATGTGCAGGAGGCAGCCGATCAATGATTCTCTCTCATCATTGATGTTTCTCTCTCCCTCTCCCTTCCTCTCTGAAATATACCAGCTTGGGGAAACATCATCTGGGATTGGGCTACTGGCCTTCGAAATACAGTATATATTTTGAACAAGTGGCCATTGTATGGTGCTGCATCCCAGACAGCTAAAAATTATGGGTCAGGGACCAGGGTATGGAAGTAGAATACCCTTTCATAATCAGTCCCATGATCCATGTGGGGAATTTGTGCTTCCTGTTCCTGTAAATTTAGGCTCTGCAGAATTAGAAGCCCTAGTTCCTAGGTTGGGAGATGTGTCTACGAGGAGTCACAGTAAGGGTACCACTAAACCTAAGGCAACAGCAGCCTCTGGGTCATTTTGGGTACCTCATGGTAATTGACCAGTAGACCAAAAAAATGTATACTGACAAAGACATTTGATCTTGGTTATTCCATGTCCAATGGTAATCATAAACAGGCAATTGCAGCAATGTTGGTCTCTCAAGGGCATGGCAATGAAAGGCTGAGGCCTTCAAGGATGAAGGTCTGGGTTTTTCCATTGTGAAAACACCAGAGACCAACAGAATTAACTGTAGAGGAGGGAGATGTTGAATATTGATTACTCCTTGGAACCAACTGCAGCAATGGCTATTGTAGTTTGTCCCACGAGCCCTCCTGTAGCAAGACACTTTTTTTTTTAAGATTTAGAAATTGCAATCAGCCAAAACCGGTTTGGCTCAGTGGATAGAGCATCAGCCTGCGGACTGAAAGGTCCCAGGTTTGATTCCGGTCAGGGGCATGTACCTTGGTTGTGGGCACAACCCCAGTGGGAGATGTGCAGAAGGCGGCTGATCGATGTTTCTAACTCTCTATCTCTCTCCCTTTCTCTCTGTAAAAAATCAATAAAATATATTTAAAAAAAAAAAAAAAAAAAAAAATTGCAATCAGCCACCATGTTGAAGAATCAGTGACAGGACAAAGTGAATTTAACATGGGGACACAAATGGATCTGAGCACTGCAAAGGGTGGACTGTAGATACGATTCATGTTCTTCAGCATCACCTCTACAAGAAGGCTCTTTGTGAACATCTGGGACTCTGCCTGAGGGCTTTTTTTTTCTTTTCTCCTGGCTGTGGGGACATGTTTGAGCACAGGGCTAGCCAGGAATACTAGAGGGTTAATGCTTCCAGAAGCAACCCTCAATCTTCCAACAGGAAGTTCACCAATAATACCCTATTTCCATTGCCCCTTGGGTAGGATTCTCTGAGACAGGTTCTACACTGTCTTCCAGAATTCCCCCAAAGGACTGAGCCTCAGTTGCTCCACCTGCTCTATTACACAGCTCTCAGTGGCTTCCTTACCTTTCCTGTCTCAGTTCTCCACTCCTCTACCAGTGCGTCTTAGCATGACCTTGAACTCAAAGTTTTATACTCAAACTACTTGTACTCAAAGTCTTTTTAAAAAGTATACATTTTTATTGATTTCAGAGAGGGAGAGGGGGAGAGATAGAAACATCAATGATGAGAGAGAATCATTGATTGGCTACCTCCTGCACACCCCACACTGGGGTCTGAGCCCACAACCCAGGCATGTGCCCTGACTGGGAATCGAGTCATGACCTTCTGGTCATAGGTCAATGCTCAACCACTGAGCCACACTGGCTGGGCGTAAACATCTTAATTCAACATTTGCTTTTAGGAAACCCTTGTCTTAGTCAGTTTGGGCTGCTATAACAAATGACCATAGATGGGGTGCAACTAACATTTATTTCTCACAGTTCTGGATTCCAGCAGATCTGGTGTATGGTGAGGGCCCACTTCCTGGTTGACAGGCAACAGCTTCTCATTGCATTCTCACCTTGTGGAGAGCAGAGCAAATTCTCCTGATTCTCTTCTCATGAGGGATCCACCCTCAGGCTTAATTACCTCCCAAAAGCCCCATCTTCAAATACAGTGGCATTGGGGATTAGGACTTTAACATATGAATTTTGGGGGGAAGGGAAGCACAAAATATAGTCCATAGCAGCCATCTAAAAAAATGAAAGAGAATCAAGCATTAAGCTTACATTTATAGTTGATGAGGGAAATTTTCCTTTATAGTAGATGATTACAGAGTACAGCTAATAAGTGAAGGAGGGATGACAAAATTAGAACATCTCCATTTTGTACTAATGAAATAATGGCTCTAGAAAATGATCATCAGTAGGTATTACATAAAAAGTTAATGGATGAGTTGAATGGTGGCCACAAAAAGATATGTCCACGTCCAAATCCCTGACACTTTGTAAATGTTAACTTGTTTTTAAAAAGGGTCTTGGAGCTCCAGTGGCGCAATCGGTTAGCACGCGGTACTTATAAAAAGGGTCTTTGTGGTTGTAATTCATTACATGAATTCATTTCCTAAATGTAGTTAATGGTTTTGAGATAAGATGGGGGTATGGAGGAATACCAATGTGTCCCAGAATCTATACTGCCCTCCTTGGTGCTTGTGGTAGACTTGGGTACTGCTGCTGCTACCAAATAGTATTTCCAATTTTGCTTCCAGGGCTAGGCCAAGGTGACTGTTCTTTCCCGCCCCCCTGTGGTTGAGTGGGGCCACGTAATCAGTTCTGGAAAACTGACTTGTGAACAGAAGGGACAGGTGTCCCTCTGGGCCATAGCTATTATTTTTTTACTTCTGGCATAGTGACTTACAGCATTTGAGATGGTGACTACTCTGTCAGCCTGGGTCCCTGAATAACTAAAATGAGAAGACCCACCCCCTTGTTGACCATAACGTACATGTAGCCTACCTAAGTGAGAAACTTTTATTTTAAGCCACTGAGATTTGGGGTTTGTTTGTCGTCACATCATAAGTTAGCTTGTTCTGACTAATACAATGCCATACAGCAACAAATCCTACAAGCTACCTGCTAAGAACCTGAATAATAATAATTGTTCTATTGTTGCTATTATTGTTATAATAACAATCATTGATTATTATAGTTACCACTTACTGAGTGCCTCTTATGTGTAACAGGCTTGTACTACCCAGTACAGGCATTGTCTCAATTCTGCTCACGGCAACCTTGGGAGGAAGGTATTATCTAATGACCAAGACAGGAAAATCAAAGCTTAGAACTAGCACAAATATTTCATTTGCTATCTGAGGGTTATTGAAAATGCTATTCTTTGATCACTCTCTGTCCCTTATACAAAGTCCTATGGGATGAATTATCTTTTTTTTTTTTAATATATATTTTATTGATTTTTTACAGAGAGGAAGGGAAAGAGAGAGAGTCAGAAACATCAATGAGAGAGAAACATCGATTAGCTGCCTCCTGCACATCTCCTTCTGGGGATGTGCCCGCAACCCAAGCACATGCCCTTGACCGGAATCGAACCTGGGACCTTTCAGTCCGCAGGCCGACGCTCCATCCACCGAGCCAAACCGGTTTTGGCGGGATGAATCATCTTTAACAATCATAGCAAGAACCGTCTTGGAATGCAAGTTTACATGTACGAAGTGCCATTAGAAAGTTCATGACCTTTGCTCGTCATTACTATTCTCTAGACCAGGCTTTTGTGGTGCAGATAGATTGCTTGAGCAGTAAAAAATAAAAAATAATATATATGAAAAATGAATTAATGGCATTCGAGTTTGTACGTAGAGTTACTGGAATGCTTCCTTTAGCCAGATGGTAAGAGTGCTCCGGTCCCGTTGCCCCTTTTCCCTGGCGGCCATGGTGGTGGTGAGCGCTAAACCAAACGCACAGTCACCCCAAGTATCAACCCTGCGGGACGTGCTGGTGTGGTGTTTGCCGCCTCCTCCTTCCACCGGGTTGACTTCCCGTTAGTTGTAACAACGGTATAATTTTCCCTTCTTTAATAGTAGTCCTGAAAAACCCTCCTGGGAGACTGGCAGGGCACAAACGCATTTAGAAATATTTTTAGGTCTTTTTATTTGTTCGGTGGTAGGGTGTAGGACTAGGGGTTGGAACGCTTCCGGCGGATTGGAAGGAATCTTAGGTGAATTTGTGGCGCCCTCTGGTGGTGCTCGGCGAACACCCTGGGTTCTCCGCGTCTGTACCCGGCTCGATGCCTGCAGCTCTCCCTCCTCGCCACCCTCCCGCAGGCTCACCCCGAAGCGGCAACAGCCCTTCAAGAGCGCAGTCAGCACGCTTCATCGAGCTCATCCCCCTCACCCTCGACTCCTCGCTGCGCCTACAGCTTCATCCAACACAAAAACTTCCCGTTATTTTACTGCTGTATACAGAGGTCAGTTCATGTCCCCTGGGCGCCCTCCCACCCCCTAGCAGTGGCTGAGTTGTGTGCTGGGGGCACGCGAACCGCCACGGGGCCTTGATCCGCAGGTCCGGGGTCGTAGCTACACCCCGTCACCGTCACCACCACCGGGGCGCCACCCCTCCCCTCCCGACACCCGACCCGACCCGCCAGGAGGCCCGGGAGGCGGGTCGGGAGGGGCTGCTCTTCATCTGGCGGGAGGAGAGGCTGGAGGGAAAGGGCAGCAAGAGACCCCGCCACGACTCCCAGGCTCTGTCCGCGTGCGGAAGGGGCGCGGTGGCCCTACTCGGAGTAGCAGTAGGTCCCGTAGCTGGCCCGCTGGGGCTGTGGGAAGCCGAAGCTGCGCACGCCGGGATCAGGGAGGCCCCCGCAGCGCGGCCGAGGCGTGGTGATGGGGAAGCGCACGCTGCCGTCCGCCAGCCACCCGCCGTCGCATTGGTCCAGCCCCGAGAACTTCCAGGCCGCGTACAGGTGCCCGACCTTCGCCACCACGGCCCCGCGCCGCCGGCACGCCGCCTGGGCTTCGGACAGGGTCAGCCGCCCGGGCACGAAGAACACGTGGCCTGGGGACGGAGCGGGTCACTGACTGGCCGAGAGCAGGACATGCGGGGTACAGCGGGGATTCAGCCTCCCGTCGAGGGCGAGGCTGCGGAGAGCGGGCCGGGCTGGGTGGGAGGAGCGGGCAGGGGTGCGGATGGGGTTGCGGGAGGCGGGCTGGAGCGAGGGGGTGGCGTGAGGCGGTGGCCAGGCCTCGAAGAGACAACCAAGCCGGGCGGATCTCCAGCCTCAGGGCTTTCACTTTCCCCGCCCCCACCCGCCAGACCCCGCCCCCATCCGCAGACCCCGCCCCACCCGCCAGGCCCCGCCCCCATCCGCAGACCCCGCCCCCACCCGCCAGGCCCCGCCCCCATCCGCAGACCCCCGCCAGACCCCGCCCCTAGCGCCGTGCGCTCGCCGTGCGCTCGCCCCGCCCGTCCCTCACCTGCCTGCGTGGAGGTGAAACAGAAGGCGTCGTAGCGGTCGCGCTTCCGGTCGCGGGGCCCATAGCTGCGGATCCCCGGCCGACCGTGGCCGCCGCACGGAGCACGCGCGGTAAGCACAGGGTAGTGCACGGATCCCTCGAGCAGCCAGCCCGCGTTGCACCAGTCCAGCCCCTCGGTCCATGCTGGCGGCAGACGAGGGATTAGAGGCGTCACAGGCAGGAGCCAGACCCGGAGGTCGCCTCCGCTGGGGCCCCTGTAACAGCCCGGAGGGGACCTAGGCGGTGCCCGGGCCGCTCACCCTGGTACAGCTGCGCGTAGGTGGCCAGGCGTCCGCCCTGCTCCTCGCATGCCTGCTTCGCCTCGTAGTAATTGAACTGGTACCTGCCCCGGCTAGGCTGGTACGGAAACACCACACCTGTGGGGTGGCAGACAGCCTGGGGAGGGCCGGCAGACCAGGGAGGGGAAGAACAGGCGGGGCAGCCGAGCCGAGAGGGCGGGGGAGATGCTGAGGGAGGAGCCCTGGGATACCCGGATCCGCCCCCGCCCGTCTCCCCCGCTGGCGAGGAGGGGGCTGGAACCGCCGGGCCTCACCCTCCAAGCGCAGGGTCAGCGCCACGCTCTCGTCCTCGATGCCGTTGATGAGCTCACAGCGGTACCGGCCCTCGTCCTCCAGGCGCACGCCCGCAATGACCAGAGAGGCGTCCAGCCGATGCCCCCTCCTCATCCTGGCTCGGCCCTCCAGAGCCCCGTAGCTCCGGGCATGCAGTCCGTTGGTGATGAGGATCGAGGTTTCCCGGAGCTCCCCTGGCTCCACTTTGCTCCAGCGCACCTTGTAGCTGGGAGGCAGGGTGCCCAGGATGCAGGGCAGCGTGGTCGTGGCGCCACGACGAGAGTGAATGACCTCGTGGATGGGGGGCAGGAGGTAGTGGGGGCCCCGGTAGGATGCTGAGCAGAGGGGGCCACAGTGGCAGGAACCCCCTGACCCCCACTGTGCCAAGTGCCCATCCAGACCCTGTCCCCAGGCGGCCCCATTCTCTCCTCCACTGCCCACTCAGCAATAACTCTCACTCCCTGGGTACCTCCAACAGCTGCCTTTCCCACTTTTCCCACACCTGGAGCTTCTCGCCCACAGATTCTGGGCAGGAACTGAGATCTTACCTGGGTCCCCGAGGGCTCTGTGGAAGGTGGTGAAGGCCCACAGGAGAAGGAAGTGACAGAGTGTGGGGAGATTGAGCCAACCTTGCATGATGGGGAGTCAGCCTAGCTGGGTCTACAAGGCACAAAGGGTGGGCCATTCTTCAGGACTAAGGGAATGGGGACAGGGCGGGGAAAGCAGGGTTGGAGATAAACTCCCAGCAGGGATTCCTCAGAGGGACTGTCCAGCTGGAAGCCATGGGGCAGTAATAAGGGGCTTATGTTCATGGCAAAAGGAAAGTGGGAGGGGGAGGGGGTCAATAGCAACCACACCCCCTCCTCTGCCCATCCTGCTTCCTCTCTCCCATCCCTCAGTCAGCAGGTCCTCTACCTGTCCCCTTCTCATCACCAGTGCCACTTCCCAAGCCTTGCCATCTGGACTGTCAGCTCCAGTCTCTATCCTCTCCCACACTCATTGCCATCTGAAGCCAGAGTAAATGTGTCCTGCTTACCAGTCTCTCCCTGTTGCCCTGAGCATAAAGCCCAGTTGCTCTGTGATCCAGTCTCTCCCTGCACTTCGCCACCTGTGCCTTCTGCACTGCGCTCCACACATGTTGGACTTCTGGCTCCAGAACAGTCCAAGTTCTCTCTCACCTCCTCACAGACATCAGTTTGGGCCTCACCTCCTTTGGGAAGCCTTTTCTCTTCCCCCAAGTTCACCACACTGTGGTGCCCTGTGATCCACTTGTCTGGTTCTCCTACTGCACTGGATTGGGGACTTTCCCCCCTTAGAAGTACTTTTATCAGCAGCTAAGTCAGCTGTGTGAATTTGAAAGTAATACATATGTATATGTAGTAAGGTTTCCAGTAATTATAAAGTATAAAGTTATAGTTATAAAAAAGATTTCAAACACAGTTGTCTATTTCAGTAGTTCTTTTTCTCCTTTATTGTATCTATTCTTCATCACCTTGATACTTATTTTTAAAGCAGAGGACCCCTTAACTTAGTTTTATTCATTTTAAAAATCTGATTCCTCCACTTCCTACCTGCATGACTTTGAACAAGTTACTAAACTTCTCTCTGACTCAATGTCCTTGTTAGTAAAATATGGATAATAATGCGCACCTCCCTTACTGAGTAGTTGTGAGGATTTGATGAAAATAATATAGATAAACTGCTTAAAATAGTGCCTGATATGTAGTAGTGCTATGTATGTGTTTCTGGCATGCAGCAGGTACTAAATTAATATGTGTTGTGTGTTAATGAGTGCGCTCATATGCAGGACTTCTGGGAAGGAGAGCTGGGACATGGAGAGAGGGAGGAAACACTGAGGGGGAGTCAGAAGGCTTAGGTCCTGAGCTCCATCTTTCTGCAAATGAAGGTCAAAGACGACCTTGCAGAAGGAGAAATGGGGGTTAGGCACAGAAAGGACTTCCCCGTCGGTAGTAGGGAAAGTATCTGGGACAGGGACATGAGCAAGAGAACCAGTTCAGTACAGGAGAACCTGGTAAGCAGAGTGATAGTGGGGACGGGCTCACTGAGGGACCAATAGTAATAGCTAGCAATAACGTGCCTGAGACGGCTCTACGCACTTTACATGTGTACTCTTATATTTACACCTGTCAGCAATCCTACGAGGTAGGAACGATGATTGAACCCCATTTTATATACTCACACAAAGGAGCATACATTTTAGTAAACTTGAGTGAAGTCAAACAGCTTGTGAGAGGAGGGGTTCTCTGGGATTTGAATCAGGATCTGACTGACGCTTAATTTCTTTATGACTGATCTATATTTCTGTATTTTAGAGCAAGTGCACACACACCTTCATACTCCTGACAGAGAATGAGAGAGGGCAGTAACAGCTCCAGCACCTACCTGTTAAAAGCTGGTCTCTTCACAGCGATGGAGGGAGCAGTGACTGGCAGCTTTTTGTCCTGCTGGAGGAAGAGGTTCCAGGTGAAGGAGTTGCCACTGGGTGGTCCAAGCACCTCAGAGCCCGGGACTTAGGCATCTGGTCAGTGCAGTCGCGCCTTTTGCACCTTTGAGGAAAGGCTCCTGCCCTGAGCTCACAGAAGAAGCCAAGGGTCCAAGAACTCCACGACCCATTATTCCACTGAGCCAGGGTAAGTGACCCATGTCCAGCCCTGTGACCAAGCACTGTATCTGCCGTGCTCACTGCCCTGGGCCCAGGGGAAGATGCTGGGTGTGGGGTATGGGGCAGGGACCCATTAAGGGGTATGGAGAAAAGGAGGCAGCCAGAAATGACCACCTGGAAGAGTACAGAGAGTGAGGTGCCCTGGTTCATCTAGATGCTTTTGGACCAGAGAAGGGTATTGATTGGTGGGTATGAGGATGTTGGACCAATAGGCATAGGAATGAGGCTCAAAGATCCATAGCAGTCAAGCTCCCGATGCCTGCATTTTTCCATATGGGCCTCATCTGCAGGCTAAGCTGCTGGGCCAACAATCTTGGCTTTATGGGCACTAACTCCATGATAGGCTGGAACTTAGAAAACCCAGAAGAGCAGTGGGGGGATGGAGCACCCCTCCCCTCCTCCTTTCCCAACAAAGTCCTCACCTCTGCCCTCCGGTGCCTGGGTGCGCATCGCCTATGGGAAGAGGCTCTCAAGGTGGGAACCAGCTGCTTCCAGAAACCTGACCCCTTCTGTCCAGCCCCCCATCTGTCTATCTGTCTGTCCTTTCCTTCTCTGTCCCCACCCCATTGGCAGCACAATTTCCCATTGTCCCCGTCTTTCCCCCATTGTTGAAACAACAGGGGCCCTTTCTTTATCCTTTGGGTAATGGCAATAAAATGTCAACAGCTGGGGATGTGGGACGCAGGACCGGCTGGCACACACCACCGGAAAAGGGTTCTGGGTGGGGGTGGGCTTAGAACAGGAACTAACATCCCCAAGGGGAACAGAATGAGATGAGGGGCAGAGAATGGTCAGTCAGAAGGTTGAAATGGGGTCTCCTTCAATGCTGTAAGCTTCAAAGCTTTAAAGAGATCTTGTGTGAGGCTGGGCTCCATAGAGGGAAGAGTGTGCGGTTAGAATTGCAATAGGGGAGATGGAAATTAGACAGCCAGGAGGATTTTTCTGTCCCCAGGAAGGGACATGGTATGGGAGTGTCTGAGGCTGGAAGGATTTTGGGAAGCTCTCCAAAAGAGTGGTCATAGTAATTTTTTCCCTACTTCCCTACCTCCTCTTTCAGCATAGGTACATAATCCTAAAGTTCTCAAGAGAACTTACCTGGGTAGAAATTGACTTCTCTCAAGTCTTTCTTGTTAGGAAGTTTTTTTCTGAAGCCTAAACTCCTATTGGAGTTCAAGCTCATTTTAAAAACCTTTCTAATGAGGTGTAATTTACAGGCAACACAATGCACAGCTCAATACATTTTGACATGTGCACACGCCATGTAATTACCCCGCTCCCCCATCAAGACACAGAACCTTTCCAACACCCAGAATAAGCAAGCACATTTCCTTTTTGTTTGCTGTCAATGCAGAGGGAGGACTCCCTCCAGTAACAGCCATTTAGAAATGTTCTGAGCTTCGAATGGCCTCTTAGCCTTCTTTCATCTCTGCTGAGCAACCCCACACCAGGAGTTTTGTGTTTCGGAACTGGAGGGAACTTCAGGATGCTTAGCCTCCTCGGTTACCAGAGGCAGAGGAGATGGAGGGGAGAGGGACTTGCCCAAGACCATGCAGAAGGCAGCTGTTGGGTCAAACCTAGAACTTGCTGCTTTTTTCAATAATCCCTCTGTCCACTCCTCTGCTTGACCCTCCCAGTTGGAAGAGCGCCAGGGTTTTTACTATAGATTTAATAATAGGAGCTCGTCACATGGACTTGATTGACTGTCTTTTCCCTTCGGCTCCATCCCTGTTTCTAAGCCCTTCCCTCCTCGCAGAGAGGACAAACAAAGAAGACAAATAACCCCTGTCTCCTAGGCCAGGACACCCTGAACCAGCGCATCTGATTGGCTTCCACCCAACTCAAACAAACAGCTTCCCACAGAGGGGGGGCGGGTCTACAGTGAAGGCTCCACAGCCCGTCATACCACCACTCCCAGGCTCATGCCTCACCCACCTCTCCTTTCTCCCCAGATGACTTCCGAACTGTGGTTTAGAAGTCTCTGGTAGGTAAGTCCATAAAAGGCTGAGTTTGGCATGGAGGTAAACCTAGAACTGGTTGATAGATGCCAAAAGGACCGTTTCAGGGTAGGATGAGAAAGGAACAGACCAGGAGTGAACATAGTAAATAGTCAAGCTGTGTTTAGTGTGCTCAAGGTCACTTTCATTCTCAGTTTTCCCCAAGGCACTGCAAAATAGGAATCGAATCAGACTGCGCAGGCTTGAGCTGGCAAGTTTTCACTGAACTAGCATCTTTTAAAGAGAGGATTTTGCCACTTCTGCTCCCTACTGACCAGAGGGAGGTGGAATCATCCAGAACACGCATGGAGTCCTGACACCTCTTCCCCTAACATCACAGGCTCAGCTTACCCCCTCTGGGCACGTTTGGCTAATTTTCTTCACCCCTGATGATGGCATGATCCCAGTTTATTACTGGGAATGTCACACGAAGGACTGGAAGAGTTGGCACTTTAGGGGAAAAGGCAGGGAGGGAAGACTGCCTGACTCATACAACACACTCAATGCATTTTGGCCCTTATTATAGGGGGGAGGGAGAGAGAAACGCCACAGAGAATAGAATCAATCAAAACAGACACTAACTGCTTGATTTTAAAGGATCACCTGATTTTTAAAAATACATAAAAAAATCACACACACAAAAGTTAATGTCCCACTTATTTTTTTATGACAAAAGTAATACCTACACATAGTGAAAAAGAACTCAACCACTACTACAGGGATAAAATAAAAAGCCAAGTGCTTCTTTCCTTCCTTCCTTCTCACTTCCCCCTATAACAATTAAACCATTGTTAAACTTCTCAGTCTGTCAGTTTTTAAGACTCTATAAGCCCTGGCTGGTTTGGCTCAGTGGATAGAGCATTGGCCTGCAAACCAAAGGGTCCCGGGTTCGATTCCATTCAAGGGCACATGCCTGGGGTTGCAGGCTCGATCCCCAGTAAGGGGCAGGCAGAAGGCAGCCAATCAATGGTTCTCTCTCAGTGATGTTTCTATCTCTCCCTCTCCCTTCCTCTATGAAATCAATAAAAATATATTTTAAGCCGAAACTGGTTTGGCTCAGTGGATAGAGCGTTGGCCTGCAGACTGAAAGGTCCCAGGTTTGATTCCGGTCAAGGGCATGTACCTGGGTTGCGAGCACATCCCCAGTAGGAGATGTGCAGGAGGCGGCTGATCGATGTTTCTCTCCCATCGATGTTTCTAACTCTCTATCTCTCTCCCTTCCTCTCTGTAAAAAATCAATAAAATATATTTAAAAAAAAAAAAAAATATATATATATATATATATATATATATATATATTTTAAAAAGACTCTATGAGAATGCAGATAAGTAGAAACATACATCATGCATTTATTCTTTTAAAATTTTATTTCAGAGAGAGGAAGCAGAGAGAGAAACATCGATTTGTTGTTCCACTTATCTATGCATTTATTGATTGATTCTTGTATGCATGTGCCCTGACCAGGGATCAATCCTGCAACCAACCAAGTTACTTGCTCAGGGCCCATATATATTTTTTTAACTGAATTAAAATCATATCATACAAACTGTTCGCTACCTTGCTTTTTTCACCTAATAATATATTTTGAGCATCTGTCCTATCAGCACATGACATAAAGCTTCCTCATTTTTTTTCGTCTGCACGGTATTCCAGTGGGTGACTATCGCATAATTTATTTAATGAGATGCCTATTGATGAATATTCAGGATGCTAGAGATTGGGACAATTAATCATCTGGGAAAAAATTGAGTCCATAACTCATTCCTTAACCAGGGGTGTGGAATGTCATTTGGTCTGCCAAGCTTAGGGGTGAATTAATGAGGTGTTTGACCAGGCTAATTTTTAAGTTGATAATTCTGTATGGCCCTCAAATGATGTTATATATATCCAGATGGCCCTTGACAGAATAAAGGTTCCCCATCCCTGCCTTAACTAAATACATTTCAGGAAGCTCAAAGATTTAAACTTAAGAATAAGTTGCTCATTTTTCCTGGTCACTCCCATGCATACAAGAGGTATACATGCTGTTAAACTTCTGTGTGTTTTTTAAATTAAGCCAGAATGAATTATAGAATAATCTTTTTTAAAATATGTTTTTATTGATTTCAGAGATAAAGGGTGAGGGAGTGAGAAACAGTAACATCAATGATGAGAGAGCATCATCGATCAGCTGCCTTCTGCACACCCCGCATTGGGGATCGAACTCGCAACCCAGACATGTGTCCTAACTGGGAATCAAACCAGCAACCTCCTGGTTCATAGATCAATGCCCAACCACTGAGCCATGCCACCCGCGCTAGAATAATCATTTAAATTAGAAGGCAACTTTTATTGCTTTTTAAAGTGATTACACAATGATACATTTAATTGTAGACAATTTAACAAACATAAAATCATTTTTAAAAATTATCTTTATTGTTGAAAGTATTACAGATATTCCCTTTGTTTTCTTTCCCATTGACCCCCTCCACCCCGAACCCGCCCCTTCCAGGCCTTCCCCACACTATTTTCTGTGTTCATTGGTTATGCATATATGCATATAAATTCCCCGGTTCATCTCTCCACATAAAATCATTTTTAAAAATAAAAATTCCCACCCTAACCGGTTTGGCTCAGTGGATAGAGCATCGGCCTGCGGACTGAAGGGTCCCGGGTTCGATTCCAGTCAAGGGCATGTACCTTGGTTGCGGGCATATCCCCAGTAGGGGGTGTGCAGGAGGCAGCTGATCGATGTTTCTCTCTCATCGATGTTTCTAACTCTCCATCCCTCTCCCTTCCTTTCTGTAAAAAACCAATAAAATATTTAAAAATAAATAAATAAATAAAAATTCCCTCCCTAACTGGTTTGGCTCAGTGGATAGAGTGTCGATCTGTAGACCGAAAGGTCCCAGGTTTGATTTCAGTCCAGCGCACGTGCCTGGGTTGAGGGTTCGATCTCCAGTGTGCAGTGTGCAGGAGCAGCCGATCGATGGTTCTCTCTTATCATTGATGTTTCTATCTCTCCCTCTCACTTCCTCTCGGAAATCAATAAAGATATATTTTAAATAAATAAATAAATAAATAAAATGCTATACCTGAGATCTACAGCAGGTGGCGGAAGAAGACTGCGTTACCACTCGGACGCTCTAACCACTGAGCCACCAACCAGGGCACTATGTGGCATACTGTATTTTCAGTCTAACGTTCTCCCAACTGAGCTATTTCGGCCGCTGTTGTATTTTCAAACTAAAATTAATTCTATGGAAGATTTTTTATGGACATAAGGGAGTATGACACATTGAGCAATCATGACAAAGCTTTACTATGAAATGGCAGTCTTCTTTTTTGAAGTTCCTAGGAGGCGTTAATTTACCATAAATACTGATACAGGGAGGCAAATGACGGATACTTTTTTCAGGTTTTAGTCCTTGGGTGGCTCGGTGAAGGAACAGTTTGGGGGGTGGGGATGCTGACTTCTTTGCATTATCTTCTTTCCCTTGTCTGCTACGGCCAGCCCAAACCCCTCATCCTGGCTTGCATCCCGGATCCTACATCTCTCTCCATGCCCCGCCTGTCTCCTCCAGTCCCACTCAGGATCCCAACTTCCCCTGAATAGGTACTAGTGAAGTCAGGGCTCGTGTCTTATGCACATTTTATCACCAGTACCGAAAGGACAGGTCCTGGCACACAGTTGTGGGTCAAAAATGTTTGATGGACCTGCTGAAACCTCTAATCTCTAGGCTTTTATCAATAACTGTGCCCGCAAAATTCACCCCAAAGGTGCTACCTCCTCGGCCTCCACCTATCTCTAGGGCACTCTCGATGCTTTCCCCTAGCGTTTCCTTCCTCTTATCTGTGCCCAGGGCTGGCTCAGCGTTGGACCCGAAGCTGTTTTCGGTATCTTAGCACGTAAGTGCCTTGGTCGCTCAGACGCTGCAGGTGGGCAGTGAGTGGAACCCTCCCCCGCCCCTCACCCCCTTCGCCCCACCCTCCGGAAATGGGCACGCTCAGGGGCCGAGTTTCTATAGCAACCATACCAGCAATGGGCCCACCCCCAGACTGTTTCTCCTGGGAGGACCGGGACAGTGGTTCCCGCATTCGTCTCTATGGTTTCACAGCCTAGAAGGACCAAAACGGTACTTCCGGGAAGGTGGCGGCTCACAAGTCAGATCTGCACATGTTTCCGCCGGGAGGACCCCGCAGTGACGGTAAGGGCTGCTGTCTCCTGAGTGGTGCCGCTTGGAGCCCGGGCTCAAGAGAGTAGTGTTACCACATGAAACTGCAGAGGGGACTGGAATGTAGACCTCAAAGGAGGGAGGCCCAGGGAAAAGGTAGCCGGCTCTTCACGTCCGCTGTAAGAAGCGAGGCCCAGGAACCTTCCCCGGAAGACTCGGGTCGGGGTCGACCGGAGAGGAGACAGTTCCTGAGAGCGTGCTCGCAGCCTTCCCAGAGACCTGGCTGCTTTTGTCCAGAGGGGTCCACTGTGAGTCCACAGCAGTCCCCCCCTGTGCCATTCAGTTCAACGACTGACTGAACGCGTTCTCACTTCCTGGCGCTGCGCGAAGTGCACCGAGGTTGGGGAATAAAGCCCGTCCCTGGCCCCAGGGCGTATTGTTTCAATGACCGAGACGAGGGGCAGGTGGGGGATACTGCAGAGAGCACAGAGCTGTAAGAGACAGGACTGTGGCCATTAACGCTGGCTCTGGGATGCCTGGGATCCTGGACCCACTACATGCCAGTTGTTTGATTTGGGCAAGTAATTAAACTTCGCAGTGCTATTTCTTCGTTTGCAGATTACAGTAATACCATGTCCTAAAGGGTCGTTGGATTAAATGAGATAATCTGTGTTAAGCAATTAGCAACAGGCTGTCATCGAGTAAATACATAAGTATTATTATATTATTACTGAAATTTGGGAGCTGATAGGTCATAGATAACTTCTGAGAAGAAGCAGAGTTTTGAGGTGGCCTTAAAGACTTCAGTGTTTGAATTTTACTTTAACAGTATCAAGAAGCATGATAGGGCCATTTCTTCACTCAATGCTTTTCTTTTTTTAAATATATTTTTATTGATTTCAGAGAGGGAGAGAATCTTTGATTGGCTGCCTCCTGCAATCTACTGGGGATGGAGCCTGCAACCCGGGCATATGTGAAGTGACCGGAATCGAACCTGAGACCCTTTAATCTGCAGGCCGACACTCTATCCACTGAGCCAAACTGGCTAGGGCTTCACGCAATGCTTTTCTGTTGGGACTGTCAAGGTATCTGCTAGGTTTACAGGTAATTGTTCTTCACAGTAGAAATGTGAACAGAAGTGTGAGTCATTCTGAATTTGCTATTCTTCAAACCTAACCAGACTGGTCATCATTTTTTTTTTGTTTGTTTTTTATGTTTTTATTGATTTTAGAGAAAGAAGGGAGAGTGGGGAGAGATAGAAACATCAATTGTTTGTGTCCTGCATGCTCTCTACTGGGGATTGAGCCCACAGCCCTGGGCATGAGTCCTGACCCGGAATCGAACCAGTGACTTCTTGTTTCATGGGATGACACTCAACCAACTGAGCCACAGTGGCTGGGCTTGTCATCATTCTTAAGCCTAATATATAATGCTTAGGAGGGGTGGCTTAATAATGTATCTCAGCCCGGCTGGTGTGGCTCAGTGGTTGAGCATCAACCTATGGACCAGGAGGTCACGGTTTGATTCCCAGTGCATGCCTGGGTTGCAGGCTCAATTCCCAGTTTTGGGGGGTGCCGAAGTAGCCAGTCAAAGATTCTCATCATTGATGTTTCTCTCTCTCTCCCTCTCCCTTCCTCTATGAAAT